ATAAAAAACACATTGTAATTATTAATTAAAATAGTAACACTACACATACAACAGCATGTTTTGTTACAAGAGGTAGGGCTCTAACTTCATGTGGTTCGTTATTCGGCCATTTCCATATACATGTCCATATGTATACATCAGTTTGTTCATATGTAAAGGGGGGCGGTCGGGTAGCCTAGTGGTTAAAGCGTTCGCTCGTCACGCCGAAGACCCGGGTTCGATTCCCGACATGGGTACAATGTGTGAAGCCCATTTCTGGTGTCCCCCGCCGTGATATTGCTGGAATATTGCTAAAAGCGGCGTAAAACCATACTCACTCACTCACTCATATGTAAAGGGTCTCCTCGCTATCTATATTCGTGCTTTTGCCTCTTTCTCTACATGACGTTTTGGAGTATATCATTGTGGTTTTATCTCATCAGAGAGCCCAATCCATGTGTGAAACCAGTATGGCTGGATAAAGCTACACGTGGTGGCAACCAGATTACTCACACTCGTATGACATTTTCTTTTTGCACGATCTACAGTCGTCTACGATCAGTATTTATAAAAAGGTATCTCTATTAGGAGTTAGTCTACCCACACCCTTACAGCTTTGGGAGCGAGGGTTTTTATTGAAGGGATCGACTTGGATTGATTTATTGCACAGCATTCGTGTACACGTGCACAGGAAAAGATGAAAACTGAAAAAAACCTTATGAACATTGAATAAAAAATATGTATTTGATAATACATGTGTACATGTATATACGTAATGATAAAATGACAATACATGTCTATAATAGTACTTGGAAATTATTACTAAGTACCATGTAACCGTGGCAAATTAATCTTGTATAATATTTTGCATTTATATGTAACTTCAAACTAATTACTTTGGTTGCAGCTTGTTGACCCAGCAGTGTAATTCTATCATAACCATAACTGGAATGTATGCTAGTTGCTGGATATAGTTTCAATATTGTTAAAAGAGCTTCCAAATCTCCTCACTCGCTGTCTCACTATTGCGAAATAACTCCTCAATGTATCTACTCAAGCTAAACATATGGAATTTAGCAATCCAATATAATATGTAGGAATAAACTCAACATAATATTATATAAAACACATTGAAACATAATTAAAACGTTTTAAAAGAAGACTGTATTGTCAAACAAATGCCATGGCCTACCTTTTAAGGAAAATGTTTAGTTACAGGAGCATCCAAAGAATGATCAGCCGGAATTACTGAGGCAGAAGGCGACCTCCAATACACACAAAAACAACAACACGAAGAGAGGTGGTCTCTGTCACAGAAAAGCTTGGGTTAGGCAAGGTACGTCGTGGCACCAACACTACTGCCAGTATGTGCTGACCTGGCTCATAGTGCTTCTTGTATATGTGTGGTGAACGTACCCCAGGAACAAGGCCGTGTTCGGTGTTGGTAACGGGTTGGGATTATAACACATACATAGATTTGGGGAGCGCCCACCCTGACCTCATTGCGCGCATGTCGTTTCATAAGTGTCAGGTCGAGGCCTTGATTATTTGTGTTACGTGTGAGGGTGGTGGTGGTGGTGATGGTGATGGTGGTGATGGTGGTGATGGGTGAGGTCTGCTCTCTCGCTATGCTATGTTTCGTTTTCAGCTGTCACACGTGTTGTCTTTAGAAGAATGGCTGATAAAATACAATAACCATTCATTTGGATCTGGCCTTTAGATAAATATATATGTTCATTATTATCGTTATCGTTACTCTTCGTCGACAAACATGCTTACTATGTTGGCGTCGTGGGAATGAACCTTTTGGCGGGACATACGTTATAGCCTGCAAGTGTTAATATATTTCAGTTGAATTGTAATATTTCGTCGCGTATTTATTCATTATATTTGGAAGATAATGATTTATCATTCACTAGATTGTATGACATTCCAAATATCTATTTCAAAGTATATGCATTTCTTATTCTTTGACCGTTTCTAAGTCTGAACGTTTTCTAATGATTTTAACTAAAGTTAAGACAAATGTGGTACCCCGGTATCTTATATGTAAAGGGAATATTCATTATCTGAATTTGACATTACGCCTTTCAACTACTTTTTCCTGACTTGAAAATATACGTTGAAACATAACTGTGCGGGATAATATGTAGTATTCTGTTACACTGCCATCTGACTATTTATCATACAATTAGCCTTCCTGCTTCTATAATTGCAAGCAATATCAGAGACGAATTGTGCGTATATTGTCTCTGGCAATATATACCAAACGGTCGCCACCTATAAAGATAAGTTGTGACAGCCAATAAGTTATTCAGTTGCAGTTTACAGATTTTTGTTTACGTATTTGTTGGTTATATTTGACCACAAAACGGAAATATCTACGTGTGGCTGTTTCTTCAACATTCACTTTTCTAATAATTTTGACAGGATGCAACAGTCGCATTGTCTTAGATCAATTACGTACTGTAAACAATCCGCGAAGTCGTATAATGACAAATATGAGCAAGTTGAAAACCATCTGCGTAGAACTCTACCGGTAGAATTCATTACCTCCATTCGGAGTCACGTGCACCGCGCCAAACTCAGACCCGTAATCTAACACGCGAGAGCTTGCCAATGAACGCTGGACAAATAGAAATGCCAGAGCACGATTAAGCTGGGTTGACAATGTCAATCAAGCAAAGGGAGGAGCGTGAGGAAATCGTCCTCTCGCAGGAAATTCCGATGTCAAATAACGACAGATTCTCGACGGAAAAACGATGGTTAGAAAGCTTAAAGAAAGCGTCGTTTTTTCGTCCAATATCCATATACGGCAAAAAAAACCGACGTTTTCGTGTTTGCAGTGTCAGTTTGTATGAATCAGATGAACCGAGGACCAAAATTGGGGTGAATCTAGAAATCAGTGTATTTAGTCACCACTGCGAATTGCGTTCTCATACACTACTCCCGATTCCGAGTCAATTGATAACTGATACAAATGAGTTATTCAATCTGAGGAATGTCACACACACGAGCCAACATATACTTTTGTCTATGAATTACTTATTGATTAATATAGAATAGATGTTGTATCGTTGCAGAAAAAATACACTTTTTAAGAACATGTCCATGTAAAGCCTTGCACTGTTACTGGATGTAACCGGATACACCTTTCTAAATATAACATGAGGAGCACAAACAAAATATTTGCACAGGCCTAATATAGCTCCAGGTTAGTCTGAACATACATGTATCTTACAAATGGGGAAGTAACACACGGCACTATTTCTGAAATGTAGTTTATCGACGTGGCGGAACTTTTGCGGCACTATTACACACTTTTGCGGCACTATCGCGCCACTTTCACGGCATTATCGCGGCATTATCGCGCCACTTTTGCGCCACAATCGCGGCATCATCGCGCCACATTTGTGCCACTATCGCGGCATTATCGCACCATGTACGCGCCACTATCGCGGCATTTTCGAGTCACTTTCGCGATACTTTCACGGCACTATTGCAAACGTATCCCGAAATTATTTCGCAATACAGGGGAAGGAACTTTTGAAATGTAGTGTATTCTACCCCGGATCTTCACGGGTCAAATACATAAGTTGCAATTTCAAAATACTAAGTTGAAATTTCAAGATACTAAGTTGAAATTTCAAGATATCAACTTATTATCTTAAAATTTCAAGATCATTTTCTTAAATATTTCAACTTAGTATGTATCTTGAAACTGGCAGGAAGAATCCCCTCACTGGTGGTGATTGAGCTTTGGTGTTCATAGTCTTTCCTTATGGTTGCAGCAGACACATTCGTCTCGCCAAAATGGTAGGACTTTGGAAATGGTTACGTAGTCTGCTGGTGCGAATGTAGCGATCCAGCACAACAGTTGTCTCCATTGGACTACCTGCCCGAGGACAGTCATTGGTCATGTTAAAACGGTTCCAAGAGTAACGTTTTGGATCCAAGATCGTAGAAACACATGATTACTTCGTGTACAGTGAAATGATGTGTTTGGGATAATGGAGACGTAAGACATTACGCATCGATTCTAATCGTATATACATTGAATATATATTCCTTCAGACTAGCTATAATGCGTAACTTTACTTGGCTGTAATGCGCGTATTCCCCACGACTGGTTGTAATTGGTATAAAACATTTACTTCAAATGACACATCTGTGTGTGAGGCCCTATCTAATATTGTTTTTAATTTACTGGTTGTGTTATGCAGAATGAGGACCAAATAATAAACTGTCTGTCTTGAAGTTTAAATATTGTTCCTCCGTGGTCACAGCACCCGGGCTAATTAAAGTAACTTAAGTAACTCGCTGTCAATTATTAATGATTTAATTGTTCTTCGGACAAAGACACACATTTGTACTGGCGAACTGTCCCCGTGTAACCCTAAGAGTAAAAATCATTGAAACATGAAACACAAATACTCAGCACGTCAACGCGACCTATTCACGCGACCTATTCACTGGATTCGATAAACTGTCAGTGAACACGTGTCTGACAGTATATATGTGCACTGGTATGTTTCAGGCTTGAAACTTTCTCGTCAGATTTGAGCATGTTGAAATTCTCAGCAGATTGGGATCGATGACATGCATCAACCAAGTCAGCGAGCCTGACCACCCGATCCCGTTAGTCGCCTCTTACGACAAGCATAGTCGCCTTTCACGGCAAGCATGGGTTGCTGAAGACCTATTCTACCCCGGATCTTCACGGGTTTGGTTAGAAACCAAACTCAGTAATCCTCAGCCTAACACAAGATTGTACATCCTGATAGATGAATAATTTCCTCTCCTCCATTGTGTTTCTTGTGTGAGAATGAAATATAAACCATGATTTACTTCTACATCAAATATATATGAATCAAATACTTTAGTCCACACACATTGCATCTAATTTTCCACGTTTACCCTGAATATGTCTATCCATAAAAGTCAGATGTGTTATCTGTAGTACTCTGTGATCATTACTAACGTTATCGGTCACTGGATTGTCTGATCCAGATTCGATTATGTTTCGACTGCATTCGTATAGCTGGAATATTGCTGAAGGCGGCATTAAACAACAAACACACTCACATCATTATCGAAATGTTTATTAGAATGAATAGCTTGCTGCCAAACTTTGCGGACATTAATGGTGTCGTTATAGTCATGGTGTAATGATGTTGTAATGTGTGCGCTACATCCAAGCTCGTGTTTTTTTACAAGCAAAATATTCGTCTGTGCAACTGTGCAGAGAAATGCATATTTTACACAATACTATATTCTATGAACTAAGCTTTTAGTTTTACTTTTACAATATCTGATTACTTGCTTACTCGACCCGTGAAGATCCGGGGTAGGTCTTCAGTACCTCATGCTTGGCCTAAAAGGCGACTAATGGGATCGGGTGGTCAGGCTCGCTGACTTGGTTGATGAATGTCATCGATCCCAATTGTGTGCGGTGTTAAACAACAAACAAACAACTTGTTTACCTTCACGAGTTTACCTTGGGTAGAATGCACAGAACACAAGCTTGGAAACGTACCAGGTAATATATAAAATGGGATTTTATATTTAGGCCTATAGTTTTAATTGAAACAAATCTGGCTTTGCCAATGTAGCTGAATATCTAGTCCCTTAACATATGTAAATATAAATCGGAGCTGGCTTGTATCAGTATTTGTAATGAATACCCAGTTACGTATGCGTTAGCTGACTTCTGATACTGCGTCAAAGTAACAAAATATTTCGTAATCAGATCAACTACACGGTCTGAAAGTTACAACAAATAGATATATTAAAGTAAATACATACAACACAAATATGCTGCACGGAAATGTTATGCAATACAATTCGAAAACATGAGATTCTTCAGCCTCGGAATATCCAGTTCGTGCGTTTACCCTTACGGAGCTGTCCCATTCAACATCATGAAGGATCGTAGTTTGTAGGTAGAGGTCTGTCTCCTTCAATATTGTTGTACATCGTAGTTTGTCCGTAGAGGTCTATCTCCTACAATATTGTAGTACATCACAGTTTGTCCTTAGAGGTATGTCTCTTTCAATATTGTAGTACATCACAGTTTGTCCTTAGAGGTCTGTCTCCTACAATATTGTAGTACATCACAGTTTGTCCGTAGAGATATGTCTCCTTCAATATTGTAGTACATCACAGTTTGTCCGTAGAGGTCTGTCTTCTACAATATTGTAGTACATCACAGTTTGTCCTTAGAGGTCTGTCTCCTTCAATATTGTAGTACATCACAGTTTGTCCTTAGAGGTATGTCTCCTTCAATATTGTAGTACATCACAGTTTGTCCTTAGAGGTCTGTCTCCTACAATATTGTAGTACATCACAGTTTGTCCTTAGAGGTCTGTCTCCTTCAATATTGTAGTACATCACAGTTTGTCCTTAGAGGTCTGTCTCCTTCAATATTGTAGTACATCGCAGTTTGTCCGTAGAGGTCTGTCTTCTAAAATATTGTAGTACATCACAGTTTGTCCTTAGAGGTCTGTCTCCTTCAATATTGTAGTACATCACCGTTTGTCCTTAGAGGTTTGTCTCCTTCAATATTGTAGTACATCACAGTTTGTCCTTAGAGGTCTTTCTCCTTCAATATTGTAGTACATCACAGTTTGTCCTTAGAGGTATGTCTCCTTCAATATTGTAGTACATCACAGTTTGTCCTTAGAGGTCTGTCTCCTTCAATATTGTAGTACATCACCGTTTGTCCTTAGAGGTCTGTCTCCTTCAATATTGTAGTACATCGCAGTTTGTCCGTAGAGGTCTGTCTTCTAAAATATTGTAGTACATCACAGTTTGTCCTTAGAGGTCTGTCTCCTTCAATATTGTAGTACATCACAGTTTGTCCTTAGAGGTCTGTCTCCTTCAATATTGTAGTACATCACCGTTTGTCCTTAGAGGTCTGTCTCCTTCAATATTGTAGTACATCGCAGTTTGTCCGTAGAGGTCTGTCTTCTAAAATATTGTAGTACATCACAGTTTGTCCTCAGAGGTCTGTCTCCTTCAATATTGTAGTACATCACAGTTTGTCCTTAGAGGTATGTCTCCTTCAATATTGTAGTACATCACAGTTTGTCCTTAGAGGTCTGTCTCCTTCAATATTGTAGTACATCACCGTTTGTCCTTAGAGGTATGTCTCCTTCAATATTGTAGTACATCACAGTTTGTCCTTAGAGGTCTGTCTCCTTCAATAGTGTAGTACATCACAGTTTGTCCGTAGAGGTCTGTCTCCTTAAAAAAATGTAGTACATCGCAGTTTGTCCGTAGAGGTATGTCTCCTTCAATATTGTAGTACATCGTAGTTTGTAGGTAGAGGTATGTCTCCTTCAATAGTGTAGTACATCGCAGTTTGTCCGTAGAGGTCTGTCTCCTTCACTATTGTAGTACATCACAGCTGTGCCACTCAGCATTCAGGTAAATCGCAGAATTCCCAACGTATATTTGGGTCTGTGGTGTAACACCAGGGATATATTTCCCCGTCTGTGGTTGGTGTACGGCAGTAATTGGCCGCCTCCTCAAGGCTGTCATCTGCAGAGAAGTGGCTGGAGTCGTCACCATTGTTTAAGTGACTGTGTGTAGTATGATCATCCCATCGCTGACACGAGTAGCCGCTCCTTGTAGTGGATAGTGTCCCGTCGTACTCAGCGCGACCATTCACCATGTTATAACATCGATTCACTGAAATAAAAAATGAAGACAAACTATTATATCTCTCACTCGCATTGTTTATTTTCCCCTACGTCATAGAGACAGCTCTGTTCACCTCTTGTTGACCATGTAAACTCGATTATCTACAGGATGACATGATTAGCTGGAAAATTGTTTACTGTGACGTAACTCACAGAATTTTTTTCGTGAAAGCAGTACGACAATCTCTTTCTAACCCAAATCAGAGAACGTCACCTTGTTCCTTTATCACCTATCATTTCAGTGCAGGGTGAATGAATCGTTGCGATTACACATCAATAACGCACTGTAACTAACCTTTATTCATAAAGTAGCCAGTATAATGTAAAATAAGTTAGGTGAGAAAAAAATGTGAAAACGTAAACCTATCGCTGTTGCGCTTAATTAAAAGTTCGTACTTTGGGGTACTTATTTCTTACAACCCAAACTAATCTTAAAGGCGCTAACGAGGAAGCGTGGCTTCATTAGCAAGGCTGGTCAGGCCTGCAAGCTGATTGGGCATTACACGGTACCACCAAACGGGTACAGAATATACGCGATCGTTTCATACTTGTGGGAGGCCTGTGTTGTATAAATAATGCTATGGATTCCATGTATGTCAAGAGTATGGCTCATGGGGACGTGTCAAGATACCTTGATGTAACGTGAATAATAAATTTTAACATTGTAAGATAAACATTCTTTTCAATTTTATGGGCTAATTAACCAGAACTGTATTTGTCTTACCAGAAGTCACTCGTGTGTATAGTATAATGTAACACGTTAGCAAGTGACACGGATTCACACGACATGTCGCTTCATCTCTGAAGTGCTATTTCAAGACGACAACAGGATATTGTGATTTGGAAGAAAATGTACTCAACAAACGAACCAATCTATGTTTTGCAATCCCTTGTAATCCATACATCCTAGATGAGGATCATCCTGACACACGCCTACTTGAAATTCTCATAAATATAGGCCCTAGAACTCATACTCGACTCATACCTCAACGAACCGAAAGAAATACAGTCAAAAATATATGTTATCAAATATTCTAAAAATCAAAGAGATATATAAACATTTCAGGCTCAGCAAAACATACTGTGGCGTGACATGAATCAGGTGATTGGTTGATTTATGCACATATTTTGACACGCCCACAAAATCAGTGGTAGTATTAAAGTTCACAGGACCTGTCAATCGGGACAAGAGGCGCGAAGAACTGCACCAGTCCGACTTTATCGGAACAAATACATCAGGGAGAAGGCGGCTGTTTCAAATGCGATGGTCAGTCATCGACAGATTCAAACATTACTTCCCTGAGAACATCGAGAGACAGTTGGAAAGGTGCGAGTTAGAAATGAAACTTGAAGACATTTGTGGAACCCAGGCAATCGGAAAAAAAACAGGCGAGCCTCAGACAAATAGGCCTGCATGTTTCTGCTATTTGCTGTTCTATTCGACTCGTGAAGATTCCGGGGTAGAATAAGTCTTCAGCAACCCATGCTTGCCGTAAAAGGCGACTATGCTTGTCGTAAAAGGCGACTAACGGGATCGGGTGGTCAGGCTCGCTGACTTGATACATGTCATTGATCCCAATCGCGTGGATTGATGCTCATGATATTAATCACTGGATTGTCTTGTCCAGACTCGATTATTTACAGACCGCCGTCATATAGCTGGAATATTGCTAAATGTGGCGTTAAACAACAATCCAACCAACCATCTGTTCTATTCCTTCACGGTCTGTGGCCTCGAAGGGTGGTTTGGGCGATGAATATGCATGAATATCGCTTCAATGTCCTTTGCATGATGATACAGGTGAGCAGAAAGGAAATTCCTCTACTGTAAAAGGGATTCCCCTACACTCCGTAATGGTGAAAGTGGTCCACTTCGGTGGGCGGAGCGTAATGTTTCACATTCAATGAGAAATGAATGCTTTAACACGTGACTAGTTCAGCTAATCATAATGCAGGAATTACAATAAACACAACGGAAATTTAATAATTATGTATCATCAACAATGAAAACTTTATCAATTTGACGAAGAACAGGGACAAATTATTTCATAAATGTTGCCACCTATCTAACCCAAGTATACAATGAAGGAGTACAACTAATTTATACTCACTATAATTGCAAGAAACAGCATGTAATTTTCTATATTATGCAGCTGATCCTATTGTGGACTAGAGGCCTTATTGTGAGATAAAATCTCTTTCTTTCTATATATAGTCATGGATGATGTGATGAAATTCTTAAAAGAAACTGTTACGTGTTCAAGGGAGAAATGAAAGACCGAAGTCACACGCCCGAAATGAAAGTGTATCTCAAGATTAACAAATATCAAAATTGTGAACAACAAGGTGTTATTCGCACATACGCACACACGAACAGGCATACATGTATGTACATAAGACCATTATCTTGACGTTTAAATATAATCCCAATTATAATCCCTTTCAATTCTTTGAAAGCGGACATTGACGACTGGAACGTTGGACGGTGAATGTTTTCCTGGTGTACAATATCATCCAGGCATTCAACACAACCAATGCAGGCTTCTCCAGTGACCGATATTTGCTCCTTGTTCTCGTGAAGCAGAATGAACTTGAACACACATATATACTTGACCAAAATCAAACCTTGGTGAATCGAGTTGATTGATTGATCGAATTATGAAGAATCCTTCTTTTGAAGGGATGTGGACTGTTTAGGAAAGTGCCTTCTTGTTTTTATTTGCCATATTGACTTAGTGTTACTCCAAAGCATACTTCTCATATGGATTAGTTATTGTAATGAAGACAAAGAAGTACTTGTCGTTTGTAAGTCGGCACTAATGAATCAATAAATCTGAACTTATGTTTAATTGTTTTGTCTATTACCATGCACTCTAACCAGTACTTGTAACCTTCACATTTTTTGGTGATATTCAGACGTTTATGATATGTTTTACAATTTAAGTGAACGTATTGCACTACAAAATTTGTGAAACATTTTGGGGGAGTTTTCTGAAAGGTGTCCGATCCGGAAGCCTTCCAGAGACAAGATTTAAGATCCTGCACTCAATCCATTGAAACACTCATATCATGAAACACATACTGGAGCTATCATCAAACACATACTGGAGCTATGAATGCTTACAAGTGGATACTGTTAACATATACGGATCGAAGCCAATTCAATCTTTCTATTCATAGATTAAATCCGTAATTTCTTGAACATTATTTCAGTCGTTATTGACAGGTAATATGAATACAACATTTACATCAGCTTAGAAGATTTGACCGTGCCCACGTTCGCGTATTTCACAATCTCTATAAGCGATTAAATAAAAAAACAAACAATGTCCCTTGCAGTGTAGCTTTTAACTGAATATAGTCACTGTGTAGTTTACATCATCAACACACAGCTCAGCACACTGCCTTAATCACATATATCAGTCTGCTATCAAGTCAGAGCGTGAAGACTTCGCTCTTGCGTACTAGTATTCAGAATGACATACGTCGGGCAATGGATCAGTGGTTCTGTGTGATCTTTCCGCAGTCTTCGATACAATAGCAGACATGCTCTTTTTAGCTGCCTCATCAGTGAAACCAGTGTAGGTTGTTAGGCTTGCCTCAAACTAATGACCGGTAACTGTCATGATGTGTCGAGGAGAAGCATGTTCTTCGATAGATAGATCATGAAAACGATTAGGTTACTATTGGTTACTATCGGACGCAGACGCCATGTTTTCGTTGTTAGAATCGTCACGCGAAAGGAGATACCTGATTGGTTGGAAACCGAGGGATACCCTAATCCTGAGGCGTGTTGCTATTTTCAGTAACTTAAGTCAACAGCGTTAGTTACCAGACCAGGGAAAGAGTCAATATTCATTTCTTTTGACTATGATGTGATCACAAATCGGCCAATGAAAACGGGGGAAAATTCTCCATTATATAGCAAAGTAAAAGACATGAAAACGTTATTGATAACAACTGCTTTAGCTGCCACACTCTCAGAGAGTGTGGGTTCGAATCCTGGATGGGACTCAACCAAAGGAAGTACTACAATGTGCACTTTTCTAAGGAAGTGTAATCCCAAATATAACAAGAGTTAAACTTTTCACGATTCAAGGCTACTTGTAGCGCTGAAACGTCGTTACAAGCAATCAGGCTACTTGTTGCCCCTTCAAGACGGACAACTGACACGTCGTTACAATCAATCGGGCTACTTATTGACCTTCAAGAAGTAGCACTGACACGTCGTTACAATCAGTCAGGCTACTTGTTGCCCTTCAAGAAGTAGCACTGAAACGTCGTTACAAGCAGTCGGGCTACTCGTTGCCTTTCAAGACGTACAACTGACACGTCGTTACAATCAATCGGGCTACTTATTGACCTTCAAGAAGTAGCACTGACACGTCGTTACAAGCAATCAGGCTACTTGTTGCCCTTCAAGAAGTAGCACTGACACGTCGTTACAAGCAATCAGGCGACTTGTTGCCCTTCAAGAAGTAGCACTGACACGTCGTTACAAGCAATCAGGCTACTTTCTGCCCTTCAAGAAGTAGCACTGAAACATCGTTACAATCAATCAGGCTACTTGTTGCCCTTCAAGAAGTAGCATTGAAACGTCGTAACAAGCAATCGGGCTACTTGTTGCCCTTCAAGAAGTAGCACTGACACGTCGTTACAAGCAATCAGGCTACTTGTTGCCCTTCAAGAAGTAGCACTGCCAAGTCGTTACAAGCAATCGGGCTACTTGTTGCCCTTCAAGACGTAGCATTGAAACGTCGTTACAAGCAATCAGGTTACTTGTTGCGCTTCAAGACGTACAACTGACACGTCGTTACAATCAATAAGGCTACTTGTAGCCCTTCAAGACGTACAACTGACACGTCGTTACAATCAATCGGGCTACTTATATTGACCTTCAAGATGTAGCACTGACACGTCGTTACAATCAATCGGGCTACTTATTGACCTTCAAGACGTAACACTGAAACGTCGTTACAAGCAATCAGG